TATTAGCCGTCGTCAGTCAGTCATACCCAACCCCGAGGTGTGGAACACCTGAGGCTCGAACTCGCCGCTGTGCGCCTGCTGGTTGGGCTCGAGAGAGAGCCCGTAAGGCACAACGGAACGAATGAGTTTCGTAAGAACGATCGGTGAGCGTTCCTCTACCATTGTATATTCCCCATCGAAACCGACAGGGCAACGGGCTCGTGGCCCAGTGGCTAGAGGCGTGGGCATCCCACTAACAGGTGGCGAGTTCGAGCCTCGGGCGTTGCACACTTCGGGTTTCGGTATGACCGGCTGACGACGACTAATAAGCCAGAAATGGCCATTCCAGTCTCCCTTGCCTTTGTCGGTAATAACACACTGCCTTAGTTTTCAATTAATACCACCGCTTTTTAGTCTTGACTTCATGCGCAGAAGTGAGTCCCAGGCACTACGAACTGCGGAATACCCTTAGAATTACTGTGCATGACGGTCACATTAGAGGCCAAAAAAACACCTAACAAATATATTTGATACAAACTACTTAACAAATGGTCGGACTGTCCGTGTGGCCATACAAATTCGGTTACTACAGCAGCAGGCTTTCGGAAACTCGTTTCACCGTAGCAAGATGGAAGTAGCCACTAAGATCAGCACCTAATTTGATTTCTGGAACTTCGTTTTCCTCAATCGTTTACGCAGGAAACTCCGCACAACAAAATCACTTCATTACAACCACTTTTCTCTTTAACAAGGAAAAAGAAACTCAGAGTAACGGGGCTTCCAGCACGTTAACAGGAGCAGACTAAGCTGAAATTTCTGCAAGGTCTATTACGGATAGCAGAGCTCGCAGTTGTGAAAAAGAGCTAAAATCCAGAGTTATTTACTAGGAGACAGAGATGAATAGCAAAGCGCGGGCCTTTCGCCGAAGTATAAAGGCGGAATTTTTAAGGTCTTGTACAAATTTGGACGGCCTGTCATTGGACTCCTAGGAAACTGGTCAAAGTATGTAACTGTGTATGAATGTTATTCCAGAAGCACCTCTGTTGTCATTACTCGGTATTTCGAAATGTCTGGTAATAATACCGGACTGCAACATGACCTAGGACTTATTTACGGGAACAAGCAAAAACCCCAGCTTCTAGCTAATGCAATTCAGCTTACGCTTCCAACCTCCTTCCTGCCTGAAGATTCGCACGACACCGAGAAACTTCGAATTGGGCCAGATTCACTTGCAGTCACGCATTGTTTCTTTTCGACCAGGCTCTCTTAGACAGCGTCTTATCATAACAGTGCAAACTTCAACTACTTGCGGTGCGGCAATTACGCTGTTTGGCTCAGCAAAGGCTTGATCATCTAATCGTCTCCCCCCCTCCTGCATTGTGGACCTTCGTGTTGTTGACCATCCTACTCTGACATGCCTGTTCCGCTGTCCTAACTCTTGCTCTAACTCTAAAACTAACCCCAAATCTAATACTAACTTCCCTGAAATTTGGCAGACGGCCACCTGCAATACGAGGGCGTGGTCATCATTATCTCCCATTTGTCAGTAAAATGAAGTCGGAATGGCATTATCGACAAAGACAAGGGAGACTGGAATAGCCATTTCTGGCTTATTAACCGTCGTCAGCCAGTCATACCCAACCCCGAAGTGTGGAACACCTGGGGCTCGAACTCGGGATCTGTTAGTTAGAAGTCCGCGCCTCTAACCGCTGGGCCACGAGCCCGTTACCCTGTCGGTTTCGATCGGGAATATACAATGGTAGGGGGCGCTCACCGATCGTTCATACGGAACCCACTCTTTCCGTTGTGCCTTACGGGCTCTCTCTCGAGCTCAACTAGCAGCCATTCTGCCTATATCATGCGGCTCGTTGTTTGCCAAAGCAACTGAGTCAAAATTTCAGCATATTCTTCGAGTTATCATAACAATCTCTTGACTAATAATTGAGTCAACCATGCACCCTTTGTTATTCGTGATAGTAAATACCAAACCGACGCCGTCACAAGGCGACTTTCATTAAAAAAATTACGAAAGGACGTGAAGTGTCAAATTCGTGCCACAGAGGATCCATTAAAATTACACTATTAAAGCACGAATCATTATATTGCACCTTACACAAGTGGCCCGAAAACTGCCCACTTAAGAACCAGCGCACTGTCGTCTAGGATTCGACCCGGAATCCATTTTTGTCATTTTTTTAGCTAAACAAAATGTTCTTTCATCAAAAAGCATTTCAAACTATTTCGGTCGATATTTCGTGAGTTTCTTGCGTAATGCATGATCATAAGTCTCTCCTACGAAGCCTTTGATGGCGACTCATATTGACCCAACTGTGAAAAACTCAGCGCCTCCATGGGATTCAAACCCAGGATAGTAAGGTGAAGGCTTTAGTACAGCCAACGCTCTAACCACATGAGCTACAAGGCCCCGTCGGACGACGCGAGTTCAATCACATTTGGGTTGCGTTTAACCGCCCAACCTACTGCAACGTCTGGAATCCACCAAATCTGAAACAGTATTAAGTACGTGAACCTGGTAGTCATCTGGTGGATTCTAGGTGAATTACTTAGGAAATCCTGCTTCGGCAGTCAACTTACTGTGTCAGATTTGGTGGATTCCAGACGTTGCAGTAGGTTTGGTGGGTAGGTTGACCCAAATGTGATTGAACTCGCGTCGTCCGACGGGGCCTCGTAGCTCAGGTGATTAGAGCGTTGGCTCTACTAAAGTCCTCCCTTTACTGCGTGGGTTCGAATCCCACCGAGGCGCCGTGTTTTTCACAGTTGGGTCAATGTGAATTATTCAAAATATGCCAAAACATATATGAATTTGAGGGAAACGTTGACATATCAGTTTGACCTCGACTGACGACAAACATGCCACATACAAGGGAAAAAGGAAAGCTTGTGTGCGACCACCGGACAGTTGCCCGAGCATGGTTCCTCCAGAAGGAGACAGGAGTGTCGGTTAAAAAACACGTTATTGTTCAAAGTTCAAGCTATGAACGAGGACTGCTGTGTAATGACAGCCTGGCGACCCGTCTTCAGCAGTGAAGGCTTCCATAGTATTCTAATTTGCCTTTCACAGGTCAGGAAAAAGATCCAAAATGTCCCTGAGGCAACGGCCAGCAAATGCAAATGCGCTAATGTCACCTAGGAGGTTGTGCATTTTCATTACATGATGGCAAATGAAAATCTATCTGAAAGGAAAAGACACAATGGCGGTCCATAGGGTATCCTACTGAAGGGAGTTTAGCACGGGAACTTTGACCCCGTACTACAGGTAGCCCGCCCTTAAATTTCCGAGGGGGTTAGGGTTAGTGTTGGGGTTAAATGTAGGACACGGAAATAGGTGTCCCCTGGAATTTAGCGGAAAGCTACCTGCAGTATGGGAGGTACAGTATGTGGGCTAACTCATAAAATGTCAACCGAAATCCCAAAATGCGTTTTCGTTTCGAAAAAACTAATTAAGTAGTGTTGTAAAACTAACCACCGCACAGCAAAGTTCTATAATAACTCAGTCACCTCTGGATGCCCGCTTTCGAACGAACTTTTCTCCGGCTGCATGCAAAAAGCATACTCTGTAAAAATGACTACTTATGTGGCATGCATTTTTCTCATTGATTATCGATGCCTTTAGAAACTCAGTTATATTTTATGGAAAACATGCATAAAATATCCATTCCTTTGCTCATTTGGTAGAAATTACGTCTTCTTCCAACTTGATACTTAAAGGGGTTATATAATTCGGTTTTTAAAAACTTTCCCGATTCCCGAATAATTTTGAACCCGAAGTGCCGTTACACTTGCATTCGGGGTTTCCAAACGACAGGCCGTATGTTTACCGCGTAAGGAAAGCCATACGAGTCTCTACAGTACTAAGAAGAAACCGTATGAGGTTCATAAAATTTAGCAGTGGGTTTGGACCACATTGTTAACTTTACAAGCCACATTCGTAAATGCAAAAACATGACGTTTTGTGAACGGCCATTTTACAATATTAAAAAATCTCACAGTTAGAAACTTGTTTAAAACCAAATTATATACTTCCTTCAACTATGAAATTAGAAGACGTAATTGTCTACCGAAGGAGCAAAAGAATGAATATTTTATGCATGTTTTCCATGAACTATAATTGAATTTCTAAGGGCATCGAAAATCAACGGGAAAAATGCATTTCACTCAAGTAGTCTTTTTTACCGAGTAGGATTTTGCATGTAGCCGGTAAAAAGTTCTTTCGAAAGCGGACATCTTACGGTAACCGAATAATTATAGAATTATGCTGCGCGATGGTTAGTGTTACAACACTACTTAATTAAGCTTTTCGAATCAAAAACACATTGCGGAATTTTGGCTGACGTTTCATGAGTTAGCGCACCTACTGTATGTTGGGGGGCAGGAGCATGGAGGGAAGGAATTAGCCGACAGAAGCGAAGAGGTCTGTTTCGGAAAGTAGCCAGAATTAAGGGGACGCGCTCGGCAGAACAAGAGTTGTACTCGCATGAAGTTTGGGAATCATACTCTAATCCACCATCGCTGATAGAATCAGACAAGTGTAATTTTCATAGAGCCAACGAATGATCAAGCTCCAAATTTTTCGGCAATTAGAAAACCTTTTTAAAACCTAATTATACGCCTTCCTTAAGTATAAAATATAAAGAAGACGTGATTCTCTATTGATTGACTAAAAGAAAGCATATTTTTGTTTGTGGTTTCTATAAAATATATTTAAAATTCCAAGACCATCGAAAATCAATGGGAAAAATGCATGCTACTTAAGTAGTCATTTTTTACCGGGCACGCTTTCTACAGGAGATTGAAAAGAAGTGCATTTAAAAGCCGATATCCTGCCGAGTCCAAAATGTTATAAGAGTATGCCTTAAGATAATCAGTATCACAAGCGCGACCAAGTAATCCTTCCTAATCGAAAACGCATTTCAGAATTTCAGCCAACATTTCATGAGATAGGTCACGCACTGTGTATGTGATCGATAGCGTTGTGCTGACTATCTTAGGTCTGGTTTTTATCAGTAGTACTTGACAGAAAAAGGGGGCAAAACACCAGACCAACCTCCCCTTCCCGTCCGGCATTTACTGTCCAAAACGTCGCCGTGGACGAACTTCTTAAATGCTGCTCGCAGTTCGGCGCTATAGGCTCTAAATCTTTTCTGACGTGCCGATCTCCCCTCATTGGAATCCATTTCCCTGCCAGTCAGAATGAGCATATCAATGCCGTGGAATGCAAAACGCCTAGGCATGGCGATCCCACCAGCTGGGGGCCAAGGTCCTGGGGCGTGCGGAAAGGGGGCGTCCGGGGCCTCATCGTGAATTATCTGGTAGAATTCTCCCCTTGTAGCGCCCACGGTCCCCAAGAACCAGGCCTGTGGGCAGGCAAAGCGCAGGAAACTGAGGAACTGCAAGTGCATCTCTTGTCGAAGTCGCAGAGGCGGCCAGACGTTTGCGCGTCCCTTCGCAACACGTGTCAGCTCTTGAGCCCATACCTGCCCGAGCAAAACGTCTATGCTCTTCTGGATGTCTGTCGAACCACTTTGTGTCCATTGTAAACGCTGCATCAGTCCAACTATCCTTTTTGACTGTTCAATGCTGTCTTCTTTGGTCCACTCCTCCCCCGTGTACGGCCAACCCTCTAGCTCATTGGAAGTTGCAGTCATGACCAAGCGAATACCTCCGGAGGACTCTAAAGGTAGAGGGAAATGCGGTATCTGGATTTCAAAACAATTACCTGGACTTCTGATATTAGAAAATAATTAAAACATTCTTTCGACACAGAAACTTGCGCCAAAGCTGATTATTTGGAAGCTGAAGATCTAGATTGCATTGTCGGAAACTTTAATTGTAGTCTAAGACTCAAAATTGGTTCCTCTAGCTTGCCAGTTGACTACATACTGGTCATTAAAGATAAGAAGGGATTTTTCGTGAGGTTCTTACTGGCATATTTAATGTAAGGTTCAAACCCTTATACACAAGAAATCATTTTTATCTTAAGCCAAACTCTGTCTTCTTAACAGGGTCGTTGGCCAGATTCTCCTGTTTTATTTCAGTTGAAATTTTAAATTGCTCCGGTCACTGAAAGTCAACATTTGTATTGCACACTAAACAAGAGTTTCGTCTCTTACGCTTTCGCATGAAAAGCGTTAGTGCACGTTTATTTCAGCTACTTAAGATGTTTCAAAGTAGGTCCCGGAAGAATGTTTTTCCAAATTCATAGTAGTATAGTTTCCAGATTTCAATAATTGGATTGACCCAATTTTGAGATTCTCGACGACCCAATAATTCGGACTCACTACAGAGAGTACAAGGCAACTAAGTTTGGGCAAATAATTTAGCCCACATCTTTGAAATTCAAGGGCCCATAACCCTTATAGTTAGAACGTTGGCTTTAATAAAGCCTCGTTCTTTCTACCACGGGTTCGAATCCGCAGACGATCGAAGTTTGCACAACTGGATAATCAATTAATATCAAAAATACTTGATTCCATAAACTAGGTGTGAGCTCAGTTTGGTTGAGAGGTAAAGTGTGTGTTTGAATACGCTTCCATAGTTCTGTTGGCAAAAGAACTTTCTCTAAAATATTTAAAATTGGACCATTAGTCGGTATTTGCATGATCAAATAAAACTGTGGCGAGGCAAACGTTAAGAATAACACGGGCATAAACTTGTCACATGATTTGGCATCGAATGGGTAGCTGTATTTTGAAGAAGCCGCCTGGTTCTGATGGGGAATGAAAACTATACCAAGGAATTTCTGCCCAAAAAGTGAATATATGTGGCCGGCTTATAGAATGCAGTTTGAAGGGAAAAAACGTCACCCGTTTACCTTTGTTACCCGTTAATTTTTGTGGACACACGTACCATAAATGTGAGTTAAACCAACAGTCAAAAGATAGCACAGTTCACATCGCCTCGAAGCACAAACGGCATCTCCATGCCGGGTGACCATTGTGGACCAGGCGGCACAAACCAGACCTAGCCACGGACGTAGTCCCCCCTCACGACAAAAACGATACGAATGCTTACACGTTGCTGCACTCTAGCAGTCTCTGACGATGAACTCCAGTTCGAGTTCCAAAGCTAAGGCTAATAAATCAACCGTCCCAGTGATCGTGCCTTCGTCTTCTTTTAAACAAGAAGCTGGGATGCACATATTCTCTTCCATTCGTGAGTATTGTGATTATCAGGTGGGGCTACCATGCCACATCTTACCAAATAGCCATTTTGGTTTGGTAACCGTCATTGGGGAGTCGTACCCAATCCCAGACCCGGAAAACCTGAAATGTGAATCATATTCGGTCTGCCATCGAGCCTTTGGGTTATACGATCTGGCCCCCTACAACGAGCCACGCGGTAGATGGGATGGACCAACACGGGGGCCAGATCCGGGCAAAGCAGGCGTTATTGGGGATGCGCACAGATAGCAAATGTCACACATGGGGGGAGGTAATGCCACGTCTAGATGAAGGCCCGTGACGTGCCAATCACCTTCACGCGACACCGTCGCCAGTTTTTTGGACTTTTTTTGACACCGGGCCCGGGTGGGTGGGGAGAGTGCGGTAGGCGCAGCAAAAGTCTACTACGACTATAGACCAAATCACGCGAAGTCACCACCCCTGCGCCCAGCATGCTGTGGGTAACACGGTGGACATAGTCGGAATCGATGATCGAACTTTCGGGTTGCAGGATCTGGCACAGCAGACATGGCCATGGGTCATATCGACTAGGATTGCCAGTATTCGAGATCGCATGGGGTTAGCGTTCGTGGAGCACTTGTACAAGTAGAACGGCATGCTTTGAACCGCCTGACTAGAGCTCACGCAGGTGGCAGCATAAGAACGAACAATAGTCGAAAATGAAGTAGACAAGCAGGGCAGGATTTAATAGTACCAAAAAAATTCGCGACGGCTCGTCAGCTGCGTCCTGTCGCTTCATAGCATAGATAGCAAGTGATAAGGATACAACAGATTTGAATTCGTGTAGAAAATCAATGCAGAAACAGCAAGGTCATGGTTTTGGGCAAAGCTAGCTGATCGACAAAGTTAGTAACTCAAACACCGTATGGGAAGAATAGTGCAAAAGGGGAATTAACGAGCAAAACAAAAGTGAGAGGGGAAGGGAAATCATGGAGCTAGAGGCTACCATGGCAATGTTAGGCTAACCACGTGTTCCAGCTGTTTACAAAGATCTGGTTTCACCTGTCGTATATAGGCCGTCTCTAGGTAACGCAAAGTTCGAGTTGTTCGTGCCCGAACAAGTACTCGGAAGGAAGCTTTGGGGACGACGGAGTGACCACTAGCAAGCAGGTGCTTCGTAATGGAGGAACGCGGGATTTTATTCTCATGCTTTAGGAGCCATTTGGGCAGGTGCTCAATAGACCTGGCTGCCAACTGCCTTTGCGTTCGCCCAATGTACTTGCATCCGCAAGTGCATGTGAATTCATAAACATAACTTAAATTGGCGTGCGTTGGTGAGACATCCTTTGCCCGTGGAATCGGAAGAGGCTTAGTAGGACTGCATAATACAAGTTCGGCTGCATTGTACGTCCATTCAATGGTGGAACGCAGCCGTCGTTCGATAGTATTTAAAAGGAGATGTTCACCGGGAGAAGTGTACTGGAGGTCTGACGTCTCGAGTAGTCGTTTCGTCTGCCCAGCTTCGGAGACTGGGAAGTCATGTGCACAGCCCTCCTTATATGACACACTTTGTTTGATGCCTGGCCCGCCAATGGCGTCTGTGTGGCTGCATCTGACCCGCATGTCACCGTGACCTGAATCGCCCCCCCCGCCCCCGTCGGCAGCGGAGATAGTTGGCGGCTCTGATTGTCTCGCGCCGTTTCTGTTCCCCGTTAAGAAGGTTCGTAAAGTCGGATGGGGGGAGGCCAATTTATGTGGTGGTGGTGGTGGCCATCTAGGGTTTTTGCACCTGCCTTGCCGTATGATCATCGCCCGGCCTACAATCTCAACGGCGTCAAAGTTGAAGATGTGTCCCATTTGTCCGGCACGTCAGGCGAATAAAACCCTTGTTGAACTAACCGCCCACGCAAAAGTACGCTTCTAATGTGAATCCTTCTGTCCTCGAAACTCATCGACCCAGGAAGCTCGATTGTCTAAGGTCGGGGACATGGCCAGTCCCCATCTGTGAGTCACAAAATGGGAGATGGAGACCAATCATTGTGCTGCAGATATTTGCTCCTGCATGTACATATGCAGTGTTCGTGCAGTTTTCTTGACATATTCACAGCTCATTATCGCTTCTGTTGCGATTCGCAAAGTGAGATCACAGAGAAATTTCGTTTGTCCTCAACGTTTGTCTAACTCTGTGTTTCTATTGTGTTCCTGCACTTAAATTTATTTCTTGACTTCTACATGAGAAAAAGTAGCTAAGCAGAGTGGCTGACTATTTCACTGGCCACCCAAATAAATCACTGTCATCACCAAAACACCAAGCATGTGACGACCAATTGTATCGTGAGCAACCGACCTGACGTTTTTCTAAATGTCGCTCCTCTTATTGTTGCTACTATCTCTGACGATGAACTGCATGCCTTCGGAAGCTCAGAACAATAAACAAGCTGTTTCGGTGCACGACTGGTCTTTTCATTCACCTAGACAAAAGGACTGTTTTTTGTGGTAGGGGGCGCTCACCGATCGTTCTTACGGAACCCACCCCTTCCGTTGTGCCTTACGGGCTCTCTTTCTAGCCCAACCAGCAGCCGCAGAGCGGCGCATGATATAGGCAGTGTGTTATTACCGACGAAGACGAGGGAGTCAGGAATGGCCATTTCTGGCTTATTAACCGTCGTCAGCCAGTCATACCCCACCCCGAAGTGTGGAAACACCCGGGGCTCGAACTCGCGACCTGTTGGTTAAAAGTCCACTTCTCCAACCTCTGGGCCACGAGGCCGTTACCCTGTCGGTTTTCTTGATCGAGAATATAAAATTATAGAGGGCTCTCACTGACCGTTCTTACGGAACTCACTCGTTCCGTTGTGCCTTACGAGCTCTCTCTCGAACCCAACCAGCAGCCGCAGAGCGGCGCATAAAATAGCCAGTGTGCTCTAATGACAGCAGTAGAATTCGTGGGCCCGACCTACGTGGTTGCTCCCTGCGCCGTTTCTCCTAGTTGCCAACACCGATTGGGGTGATATGCGACCTCGAGCCTGGATCATACTCCACTTTGTCTTCCTTTCCATCTTCTGTGCTGTCAGCAACCGGCCTCCCGTGATGCGTGTGACTTTGGAAATACTCGAAACTCTTTAGCATCTACGTCAATGGCGTTATAATCTTAGAAGAGAAGATGCAGTCACAAGCAGTTTAAAACCCAACCAAACTTACCCCTAAGCCGAAGTAGATGAGGCAATGAAGGGAACTGAAAAATCGCAAATCTCATAACATACCAAATCGAAAACTGTATAAAGCTCACTTCAATTTTTTTTACGAAATGTGGTTTGACAGTGGAAGACAGATTCAGACTTTCCAAGGTGTCACCTGGTTAAAAATACATCACGATTTAAAGGCAGAGCTGTGGACCATTTTTGCTAATTAGTTCCTTTCATTTTTATGTAATCAGGTCATTAACACTGTGATTGACCTCCGTCAATAGACGCATCCAGACTGGAGACTACCTGGGAAGCCATAGTGCCTTTAGAAACTTCGGCTATTTCAGCGGAGTTACACAGCGACCAGTGAGTATGCGAGTAAATATTGCAGATGACTGGTGAGAGAATAATTCGCTAACGGTGGTTTGAAATGGTTTCGAATTGAAACAAAGAACGTCGTATTGCCTGTGGACCTCCGACAGCTTGTCGACAGATTATAAACGCCTCTGCTACGGCCACCAAGGTCCACTGTAGCGAATTCCATCAGTTCGGTGGCACTCTGTGAGCTACCACAATGCATCCATTCGCATCCAACAGACGGTGGGCTTCTAGTTGGCTGAGGACGTAGAGTTTTCGGTCGCCATAGTTTTATCTTCCAATGCCCTGTTCAAATGCATTCTCGTATCCCTTTGAAGAAGATTGAAATTATCCGATCGTTGTGGCCTCCTCCAAGGAAGCAATTGAAGATTCACATACACCGCTGGTTTGGGGCCGCAGATTTCTCTTCCGCCAATGACAGAAGCAGGCTTGAGGAGAATGGTATCTAGACTTTCCCGCCAAGGAACGCATGTGAAAAATACTTCACTCAGTCGTTTCTTTACCAGTTCTCCGAGTGCATCGACTTGGAAGGTCGGTTTCACAAAGAAACACTTCGCGTCAGCAGACATTCTGGCTTTTGCCCTTATATTCTGAACACTTTTGGTCATACCTCGTTCTGTTTGGTTGTTTCTCTTAAATGCGTGCTGGAGTTCGTATTTTTTTCAGTGTTATCACGTGAATAAATAATTCTAGTTTTGGCGTCAAACAACGAAGTTGTGAAGGCCAATTTCTCGTTTAACAAATGCGCCATCGGACAGTTTTGTGGAATTGTCTTCTGTATCAAGCATCCGGTAAATAAACTGTCCCTTGTTATGCCTTCAGAAAGAACATGCTTGACAGTTTCGCCTGATTCAACCACCGACCTCATGTGACCTGATGTGATTTTTAATGCATTGTCTACGTTACTGCTAGAAAATTGAAGTTGGTAAATACACGCGTTCAACCGCGTTCTTCCCAGTTTTCCCTTAAAGATGTTGATTTCGGCCCCGGGGAGAGCCCTTGGCTAATCCACCTGCCTCTGCGTAAGTTGTTCATCGAGTAAAAATACCGAATTAACAAGCCATTTATTTTTTGAAGGTTCCACTCAGACAATAACCTGCTAGATGAATGCTCAGACGTGCATTGGAAACATGGTGTTGATGAGTTCTCTGTATTGATTAGTGGGAATGATTACCAGTCTAAAATAGTCATCCAGTATCTTCAACCAACTACGTTAATGTTAGTATCAGCTGCCAGAAGAGAAATTGATCCCCGTTTTTTTAAAAAAATCAGGATTGATCAAATTTCAGATACAAACTATGTGAAAAATAATACATAAATCTATCGGAAAGTATGATGGTGAGCCCTGCAAAACTCACCCAGTTCTCATCAGAAAGTTACCTAGTTGATTATGGAATGTCAAGATGTATGATCAAAATAGGTATTATTTCATCATCCGAAATCAAAGTTCGGCCGTTAGGATAAATTTCTAACTTGCAAAATGAACTTACATATGTTACTTACTTGTGGGAGAGAATATGTGTGCTCTTTTCTCAGGCGTCCAGAATACGGGCGGTTTCAGGTCCAAAGCATCAAAACCGTACATCCAGCCTCTAGGTGCACCAAGGCGCAAGATATCGCCCAAAAGTCTGCTGTCGTTCCATAACTCTTTCGTTGATTCATATATGAACGCGATTGCATCATCCATTAGGGCACGGTGTAAGTCTCGTGTGGAGCAGGTTTTGCCAATGTGTCCTTTCATCTCGCATTTTTCACCCAGTCGTTTACTTACCAGATCACTGAGAATCTCATAGGGTACATTCTGATCTCTACTGGTGGCCCAATTAACAGCTCCGCTTGCAAGCCAAGCCTGATTGAAGAGCCTTTCCCCTCCCTGAGGATCCCTAGACTGAAGGTCTAGAAGCGCTAGCGCGTTTGTTGCGCCAGAACCGTGACCCAGCAGCGTAATCCTGTACGGATCGCCGCCGAAACGACGAATGTTTGTCTTTATCCACTTCAGAGCCAGCATCTGGTCTTCGATGGCAAAATTGTGAAAAGGCACGTCGTAGGTGTCGTTCGGTGCCGAAGTTGTGTCCTCCGTCTCCAGGTCGAAAAAGAAACCCGCCACGCCTAGGCGATAATGAACGTACACCCAGACGGCATCAGTGTCAAGAATCGCTGCATCGGATGGCCAATAGGCGGGCTCTCGATAAGAGGGCGGCATTAAGGGTTCAGCAAAGGACTGATAACCCGCCATGACAACGACAACGGGTCGAAGACTGCCCGCGTAGAGCGGCGTGGCTACATCCAACTGCAGACACTTTTCCCGCGAGAAGAGAAGATCCGTATCCCTGAAGTCATCCTGCTTATTGGGTATCGGCTGGGCACAAAATGAAAAGGCGGGCTTCCTATCCATGTTACATTGCCACTGACTCTTCTGAAAGGTGCACTTATCGTGGTGGCTGATAATGCACCCCTCCACCCCCTCAGCCGGCTGCGGCGACAACCAGCGCAGATGTCGATGGTTTCTCGCACTCTTTGCTAAAACCTCGTCCAGCAGTTCTTCAGTCGTTAGATCGGGCATGGCCAGCGGTGGAATGGCATATGGCACCCCGTAGAAGCGCAGAACCTTGTATGGGCCGGTCCATTTGCCTCTGTAGAGCCCACAGGGCAGGGAGGCGTTCTCCGATGGCGTTGGTAGCGGCGGGAGGTTTGAAATAGTGGCAATAAAGTGCAGGATGCACAGTGACATACCGAGGAGCGAAAGAAGAATGAGAACAATGTCAAATGGGCGTCGCAGGATGGCCTCGCAGGTAACGGGGTCAACAGCAGGTCTGCCATTTGGAAAAAATTCATCCTGCTCTCTCAAAGGACGATACCTCAGGGAGACAACTTTCGTCCCGGCAATCATAGTGTGACGTATCGATCAGACGGCGGCGTTTAAAACTACAAATTTGGCCTTTTAGTCCAGTCAAATGGGGGAAAATCGATTTGTTGCACGGCGTCGTGCGTGATTGGCGCGACGAATATACTCTGGTAGTCCATTTGTGTTCAATAGTGAGATAAAGGTAGATTTTTGAGCAAAGGGTGGACACGTTAGCCTCTACTGAGCAAGTTTCCGTTAGTCAAGGTGAACGTTAAGGCCCTTTTTGGGTAATCATCTGTAAAGAGAACAAATGCAGTTGCTCTAAAATCGACGTTCTACCGATTTCACTCTGTGCCGCAGTAGCGTTTACCTTATTTACTTTGTTTACTCTTTGTTTCCGCCATAACTTATGCACTTTTCCCCCTATTTTGTCTATTATACAGTAGGTGGGCTACCTCATGAAATGTCAACCGACATTCCGAAATCCGTTTTCGTTTCGAAAGGATTAATTAAGTAGGTTTGTAAAACATATCATCCTGCAGCATAATTCTATAATAATTCTGTTACATCAGGATGCTGGTTCTCGAACGAACTTGTTTTCAGTTGCATGCAAAAACCATGCACTGTAAAAAATGACTACTTAATTAGCATGCATTTTTCTCATTGATTTTCGATGCCCTTGAAAATTCAATTATATTTCATGAGAAAAATGTATAAAAATATTCATTCTTTCACTTATTCGGTAAAAAATCACGTCTTCTTCCAATTTCATACTCAAAGAAGAGTATAATTCGGTTTTAAAAAGGTTTCTAATTGTGAGATGTTTTAGTACTGTTAAATGGTCGTTCATGAAACGTCATGTATCTGCATTTACGAATGTAGCTTGTAAAGTTAACAATATTGCTCAAATCCACTGCTTAATTTTATGAACCTCATATGGTCTCCTCTTAACACCGTACAGAAATGCATGACTTTCCGTACACGGAAAATATACAGCTTGTAGTTTTGAAACCCTGAATGCAAGTGTAACAGCAGGTCGGGTTCAAAATTATTCGGGAATTAGGAAAGTTTTTTAAAACCGAATTATACTCTTCTTTGAGTATGAAATTAGAAGAAGACGTGATTTTTTACCGAATAAGTAAAATAATGAATATTTTTATAAATTTTTCTCATGAAATATAATTGAATTTTCAAGGGCATCGAAAATCAATGAGCAAATTGCATACTACGTAAGTAGTCATTTTTTTACAGAGTATAGATCTTGCATGCAGCCGAAAATAAGTTCTTTCGAAAGCCGACACCCTGAGGTAACTGGATCATTATAGATTTATGCTGCATCATGATTAGTTTTACAACACTACTTAATTTATCTTTCGAAACGAGAACGAATTTCGAAATTTTGGTTGACATTTCATGAGTTAGCACATCTACTGTAAAATCCTGCAAACAGTTTAATTCTCTTAATTTAGCAGCTGGGCAGTCCTGTACTCGGTATACTATGCTCTTATAGTTCAACGTTTAAGTGCAACAAGATACTACTAGGTCACTAAATAATCTAGCGTAACAGGTGTGTGTGTGCGTGTGTGCGGGGTCAGCAAGTAGCACGTCACCAGACCATACGCGGCGTTCAAAAGCGGCCACCCGCGAGAGGTCTCTCCACGCTAGCACCCAGACGTCAACCAACGGAAGCACAACAATCAGACAACGCACCTTGGACCTTAAAAACAGTACCACAGTAGTGTTTGGACGTTGGTGTGCGTACTGTGGCTGTCTGCGTAAGGCTGCCCTCCCTGACATTCCTGTTTGTTTTCAGTTCCGCATAACATTTAGCGACGCATTGCTGGGGAACATAACTAGTAGCGTTAGCAGAAAAACTTTAAACGGCATGCCCTAACCCTAGTCAGTAAGTGTGGATTTCAAAGTTGGCGTTGCAACTGCATCTAAGAACTTTTGGTTACCAGGGTCAAAGGAACTTCGTGTAACGATTAAGAAATTTCCCAAAGCTGGTTAGCCACTTTAAGTTTCCTCTTTCTACAGCGGTCGTTATCTGTTATTGTCTCCTCACGGTAAACCAAGCAGGCGTTGCAAATAGAATGTCCACGTTGATGCGAAGTGGCTGCCATTATGCACTACTTTGTCTAATAGAAAAAGCTCAAAACAAAATGTTCTAAAATAACTCACTCAAATAAGCAAAGTCCAGTTTAAATCTATTTTCAATATGTTAGCTGTTAAAGCTGTGTCTAATGTGCTCCTATTTTCACTGAAAGATTTTAATTCCACAAAAATGATCAATAAGCAGGCCTTTTACCACCTGTCACTTTGCAGTTCGACTTCCTGTCGGACCAAGTAGCTTTTGGGCAAAAATTGTGGGCTCTTCGTAATGGTAAATTGAACTCGGAAAGGGGATGGTTTCTTTGGACTGACAACTTCCTATTTGTCCGTCAACAATGCCTTCGCGATCTCCCATACTTAAATTACACTTCACTTAACTTGAGAATTTTTGGAGAGGGAGCTAGGATTTCACAGGATGAGGCCGCTTGTTTATTTCCATTTTACAGGTAAATTTGAAGTTCGCAAATAGAGTAGGTGTGCTAACTCGTGAAATATTGACCAGAATCCTGAAATGCGTTTTCGTTTCGAAAAGATTACTTAAGTAGGGTTTTAAAATTAATCATTATGCAGCATAATTCTGTCATAATTCCGTGACCTAAAATGTCGGCTTTCGAACGAACTTCTTTCTGGCTGCATATCAAAAACATATACCGCAAAAATGGATAACTTAATTAGCATGGGTTTTTCTCATTGGTTTTCGATACCCTTGAATACTTAATTATATTTCGTGTGAAACACGCATAAAACTATTCATTCACTCATTCGGTAGAAAATTACGTCTTCTTCCAATTTTATACTCTAAGGAAAGAGTATACTTCGGTTTTCAAAAACTTTTCCAGTTCCCGAATAATTTTGAACCCGACTTGCCGTTACTTTTGTATTCCGAGTTTCCAATCTACAAGCCGTACGTTTTCCTCGTACGGAAAACCATGCGTTTCTCTACGCTATGAAGAGGAGATTATATGGGGTTCGTAAAATTTAGAAGTTTATTTGAGCCATTTTATAAACCTTACAAGCAACATTAGTAAATGCAGAGACACGATGTTTTGTGAACGGCCATTTCACGATATTAAAAATCTCATAATTGGAAACTTTTTAACATCTGTATTATATTCTTCCTTCGAGTATGAAAATGGAGGAACAGGTTATTTTCTACCGAATGAATAACGGAATGAACATTTGTATGGATTTTTCCACGAAATATAATTTCACTTTTAAGGGCATTGAAAATCAATGGCAAAGATACTTGTCACATAACTAGTCATTTTTTTACAGAACATGGTGTTTGCCTGCGGCCGGAAAGAAGTTCGTTCGAAAGTCTGCATCCCAGGGTATCTGAATTATTGTAGAATTATGCTACCTGTTGATTAGTTTTGCAATACTACTTATGTAATATTTTCGAAACGAAAGCGTATGTCAGAATTTTGGCCAAAATTTCATGAGTCAGCACACCTACTCTATACCTTGCACACCATTGTGATGACGATCATTGCATAATACCGCAGAACGAAGTGAACGTGGTCTGCAATCTTACTGCGTTTTAGACGGCGTTTGCACAGTCAATGCGTTATGCATGTTACTCCTTTGAACTCGACGTTTCAACCCGTAAGTTAGCGAAGTTATTTTTCTGCGTTCTATACTCGCCAAAAGAGTGGATTTTCCGACATAAGAGTATAACACAATGCTAAATAACAAGCGTAAAAACGTTTATTTCTTGAAATAACCACTTCATTCCACCGACTTCGAGAGTACTTCAGTCGGCGCAGACAAGCTGTCTCAGAAGTCTCCTACCATCAGTGTAGATCAATTTTTGCGCTCTACGTAAGTACAGTTTTAAACAAATGCTCATAAACGTCAGAAAGTGTACCCGTGCAAATGCGCGAGTACGCTTACCGTGTATGGAAGTCACTTAGGCAAGGCTGCAAAAGTAATCCTCAGGGGACATTATCTCAAACCAGTTCCTCCACGGTTAAAAGCTGGTTTTGGCTGCACAAGTGACAACTGCAAAAAGCTGTAACTGAAAAGTGTGCCCTTTCAACATTGAACTTAACGCTTACCTAAATGCACTCATCATGTTTCATGCAATGGGGGCACAATATACGGATGTCTCTGCTCATTTCATAGGAAGCCCTCTTCATTGAAAGCCACATGTGAAGTGCACGATTATTCTGGTTTCAATCAATTTACCATTTGCCAACAAATCCTAGGAAGAGTTTACGGGCAGTAGTTAGGACGAAGGCGACTCCGTCGGGGAAAAAGTGCTTTTTTATCACGATTACTCAGATGCGCTGTACACGCATCCGCTAGCTCCTTCTGTTAATGTCATAGATGATGGGTTGAATAAAATTCCTCATCCACCAATCAAGTCCCACTTTAAAGCGCCCTTTCATCGGTTGAATTGGGATGCAATGTACATTTTCAATATGTCCTAACGTTTAAAAGCCTCATGCTAGGCACTTTCCTAAGGCAAACTCATATAAGCCCACCTGTTTTTATGAAGAATTCCCTTCGTGTGGATTGGATATTACAAAAGCAATAGATAAAGTTACGCATTTGCTGATCGGTGTGAATATGTCGGAGAGCAGTACGCGACTTCAAGGCATACCAAAGTTGGACTTGGTCTACGATGTCTTACCAAGCGATTGTATTTCTTCCAGGACAGCTTTATAAACACCTTACCCACTGCGGTAACTCTGTTAAATTAGCAATATAGTCGCGCAATTCGCGATTTTCGCGAAAAGCTCTTGAGGAAAATGAACTCGAGCTGACAAATCGACTGCAACACTAAGACACATTTTCTTTAAAAAAATACTACATAAGTAGTTGTAGAGACTCAGCCTCAAACACTGAAGGGGAGTGGGCTGTCTTAAAAGTTTTTCAAGCATGCGTCCTCTAAGAAACCTTTCTTTGTCAATGATTCTTTTGACGTGGTT